AACAATTGGATGATGTTATCTTTAGTAGAAGGACTGTCTTGAGGATTTCATGAAGTTGAGGAGCTGATTTGCTATGGTTTGAAGCAGAGGAGCTGACATGCCAAAACATTATAAGTATAGGGGTTAAATTGCACCTTCTGCCAATATAAACGGACAGGCATGTTTGGTAATATCCGTCAATGTTGTGACATATTAACATGTGTAATCCAATGTGTTTAATGGCTCTAATAGTTCACCATCAAATCTAAGAATTTGAGATTAAGTAACTAGTAGTTTTATTTTTATAAATTACTTAAAAAGAAATTCGCCTTCCCCAATTTTCTTGTCTTCAAAAAACAAAAAAGTGTAATCTTCTTTTTTTTTTTTTTATGGAAGTGTAATATTTATTTATAGTTAAAAAATTAATTTATTATATTTTATTAATTATTTCATTGCAAGTGAAATAATGTGTCACTGTATTAGTGGGTAGATATATCAATAATGTTTTGTTATTTATGGTTATGACGTTTTTAAATTAATTTTTTTGTATTTTAAAATTAATTATTTCTTAAATAATTTTTAAAATTGCATCTTTTATATTAATTTAATACATTAAAAATTAATTTTTTAAATATTAACTTCAAAACTTAATATCTAATCTTAACTTATAAAATGACTCTTAATTTAATTACTAATAGACGTGTCACATGTGGGGTTTAGATACATCTGCAGTATCCTGTGAATTTCTCTCCTACACCGAATAGAGGCTAAACCATCACGATACGTGTTGACCGTAAGTCCTCACTTACATGACACAATAAAGACTTGACCTTACATATCGTTTGCCTCAATTATCGGTGGCTTAACCTTGTCCATCATAATGTTGCCTTGGAAGTAACTTCCATGACAAGACCCAATAAAGACTTTGAAAAGTCAAAGTCAATTGAAGATTAAAAGAGACAAAAAAAAACAAAAACAAAAATGGTGTTAGGGTGCCTGCCAGAATGTGTACTTACCGTTTAGTAAGCTCAGAGAAACGTCTTGCAGACGGCTACAATTGTTAACTTCTAGCGGGGGATTTCTCCATGAACCAGAAGTCATATACGATATGTCCACATCTGATGCCACTAAATCCAGGTCGGTTGCCGACCTTCACGAATTCTCGTCGCAACCTTTCCTTCCCTCTGGGTTGTCAAGTTGTTATTCTCATCAATTATCATGACATCCAGACGTGCCGTGCCCTTTGCGGCAACATCAATCACCCGTAAAAGTGGGGTCATTTTGCTTCCCGTGTCAGTGATTAGTTTATCGTCATCTGCGATGACATCATAGGGTATCATTCTTCCAACCACCTGGTTGGCGGTTGCAAATGGCAACCAAGCAAAAGCAGAATTCACTTTCATGAAAATTGCACGTCTTCCTGGAGTACACACCCAAACTTATCTACTAAACATGAAACGCCTGCAATTTTTATGTTAATAATTAATCTCTTTACTATACTTAACGTAGCATACTAGATAAGAAAATATTGTATAAAAATGAGGGAAGTTGTATCTCTTCTTAGGTAAATTTTTACAAAACAATTTGAAGGTATTAGTAAAATTAACCGGGTTAAAAGATTTTTTTTAATAAAAATAATCATAATCATATATTACAAGCCTCCTATTCAAAAAAAAAAAAAAATCAAGTTGAAGATCTTAATACACGTGTTACTAAAAAATTTGAACCATTATGTCAACACACTTTTCTCTTCTCCCCTCTAACCTGTGAAGAAATATCAGTAATGTTTTTAAACAATTCAAGGATTAACACATTTGAGCTGGTCCAGTTATTGCTACGGAGTAGTTTGGGGTGTAGTTATTATCACAAATGTAATTGTTAAGGACACTAAATTTGTATTATTTTTTTTATTAAATATAGTTGTTTTAATCTTGATTTTTATATAAAGTTTGTTTGGTTGTATAATTTTTATATAATAAATAAATGATAATTAAATTTTTTTTTATATGTAGTCCTTTTTAAGTACTTTCACTTAGATTAAAAAAATTTTAATTATTATTTATCTTTTATTATATAAAACTATTGAGTCAAATTTTATATAAAAATCAAATTAAGACAACTAAATTTAATTAGTAGTGGATTTAATTTGATTGGTTTTTTTATTTTTTTTTCTTAAATAAATAGTTATAATATCTTAAAGTATTAGTTTTTAAACTAATTTTAATCTATAAATAAAAAATATTAAATTTACTAATTATTAACTATTTTAAATAATTAAATTAAATAAAATTAATATTTTTTAACAAAATATAATAATTTTAACAATTAAAAATTATATTAATCACCAGAACAACAGTATATAGCATGTAGAAGCAATTTTATTTTTACGTGTTTACCATTTTACCTTTTTATCTGGACAAGACAAAACACTATTGTCCTTTATTTCTGAAATGGCCTCTCATCATGCCAACGGTAATTGTGACCTAAGGACATGCCAACCATAATTATGGCTTAATGGTTAGAAGAAGAGTAATGGCATCTAGAAATGTAAGGTTTAAATTTTGATAATTTTATTTTTGACTTTTAATTATATTAATTTTTAAAAAAATTATTCTTTGAACAGCTTGCTCCGACCCAGTAGCATTAGACTTTCAGTTAGGGTCATTCACCTCTTATGAGTTGCGTGTTCGAGTCCCACGGAATCCATTTGCTCTTTCTTTCAATTATTTCAAAAAAAAAATATTCTTTATCATAAATCAATTATTTTTTTATAAAAATAGAGATATCATTAAAATAAAGTGGAGATTACATCAGTATAATCTCTATAATATGGCACTATAACCAAAAAATAGAAACATAACCTACAACACTAGTTACAGATTTAAACTATACCCATGACGAATTTAGTCAATTGAGTAAAGAGGGTCATTTGTACCTAGAGATTGCCTTAAACAATCACTGTATGGGTAAAATAGGACTACCAAAGTAGAAAGAAAATCACTATGAACATCAAGAGCTGCTGGACATTCACACCTGTTAAACCAATTTTGCGGGGAGATCAAGGATTTTTCAGCACCACAGTCCCTATTCCGCTGAATGTCGTCCCACAAACTAGAGAACTCATCCTGGAGACAGGTTATGGTCCTCACTCCTTCGCATGATAGCCACCCTTAAATTATCAACTAATACTTTCAAATCCCTTTCTTCTGCTACGAGAGTAGTTTGGAGCTTCTACTTACCATGCTTGTCCCTATATTTGCTAGAGGAGTTTTCAAAATTGCGATCTAACCTCTTCCATTTGCCACTGCCTAAGCCACCCCTTTTCCTATTCTCACCTCTGATAGAACCAAATTCTTGGCTTAAAAGGACTTCAAGCACAGTGTCCACCCCTAAAGTATCTAGAGCATCAGTTACTAGAGCACCAGTTACTAGATCAAGCATAAGTCGGTTCCCTTTCTCAACTTGACCTTTACCACCTTCCTTAGGCCCCTCATCTGCACAGCTACCACCATTGTGTTCTATATTAATGGGATTGTTTTGCCCAGTACTATCATCAAGTAGGTGATTAGGCCTAGAATTCACCTCAACATACTTGTCTTTTTCATTGAATAAGGGCCAAGAGTTGTCTGAGAAGGCCACGTCAAGTTCATCAATATTATCTGGACACCATAAATTCTCTAATTCAACCTTTTAACCAAGGGCCAAAATGTCGTATCACTGTTCCCCCAATTTCTTTAATATGAAACCCAACCTCACAATCGTTTTCAAGGTGTCCTATGCAACCACAAACAAAACAAAATTCAAGCCATCTTTCATAGTTGAGTCTCAATTTTCTGCATTCTATGGTTGTTATTTGAGAGGTCTTGAATCTTTTAAGAGGTTTATTGATTTCCAGTTCAATTTTAACCTGAATAGCTTTGCGGAAACCATCATCTACCTCCAGCATTTTGCCTAAAGAATTACCAATTATACGCCCAATTTTGTTTGTATGAAGGCCAATAGGGACATCGAAGATGTGAACCTAAAAGGGATTTGTGGAAAAATCATACTACTCTGGGGAGAAGGAGTCATGAAATCTTTTCAGGATAATGAGAGAATTGTTGAAATTCCATGGAGCCTTATAAAAAACTTTACTGAGATCTCCAACATCCGAAAATTGAAATAGATAAATCTTTTCACCAATTTCAGAAATTATAATGGATTGTTTGAGATTCCAGGAGGCCAGCAACACATCATGAAAGCCATTAAAATTGATCCTTCTATGGGAAAGTACCTTATCGACAAGGCAGAGCTTCCCCATCTGGTCACCATGCTTCCAGGCCTCATGGAAAGGAAGAATACCATCAGCGTCCTCCGTGAGCCTTATGCGACTCATCATAGCCCCAACGTCTTCAGCTATTGCCTCTGGGGTTTTGGTTCCACTGCACATCTTCTCCACCGATAAACCACACACAAAGTGAGCAAGTTGTGTCCAAATCAAGTCATAACTCATAACAGTACCAGGCTAAAATTTTTTCATCGCCTACCCCTACATTGTACATGTTAAAAGAAAATTGCCCTTGTTGTTCAATAAAAAAAATTGCCCCTCATCATTTTATAATCTACTTCTCCAACATTCAAAAGTCAACTCACCGGGAACTCTCCACGCAACTTAATGGATGAGTCACGTTATTCCAAAAGTAACAGGTAAAGTTTATCCGATTTTAATTTTTAATGTTAATCTAAAAACAAATACTAATTCCTAACAAATGTTCTCTTATAAATAAAAAAAAAAAAGTCAACCCACCCGGTCTGCCGGCCTGAACTTTTTCAAGTTTTAAAACATAAAACTTAGATTTTCAGATTTTTAGGACTGTATTGTATAATAAAAATTAATAATTTAAGTATTAAAATTATTAAAATATTATTAATAAATAATATAAAACTAAATTTTATTAAAGATATCTTAAAAATTTTAAAAGTCAAACTACAAAAATACTTTTTTAATTATATAATCTTACACTTATCTCTAGTATTTTATTTTTAGAAAAGAAAAAATTAACATATAATAACATTATAAATAATGCATAATTGTTTGTTGTTTCTATCCAACAGCAAATGTTTGAGTCTTGGTAGCTAGGAAACGTACGATGATCTTCTTGTTTGTACTGACTCGGCTCCAGAGAACTAATTTCATTGTTAGTCCCGTACTCATTACAAAAAAAAAAAAAAAAGGGTTTTCTAAAAATACCGTTTTTAATTTTTTACCATCCCAATTTTTATTTTTTTCTCTTCTTCGGTTTAGCAGTTAGGCTGTTGTTGTTGATGTGCCTGATTCTGTTTGTGCTGTCCTTAAAAACTATACGTCACGGATAAAATAATTATTTTAAAAAGTATTGTACATAAAAGAAAGGAGTACACATTAAAAACAAACAAAAATAACTACTACAGAAGCACAAGATCAATTTGTCCTAAAAATTAATATCCTTGGTGAAGCTTCATTATCGTTGAATGATAGCATCTCTACAGCATGGCGCCTTGTGGGTCTGGCATGCACGTCTTCTTCCACATTGTTGGAGCTATGGCATGAAAGCTGAAAATGCAGTGAAATGAGATCTACTAAATGATGCTACAACATGACTGCACAGTAGCAGCATGGAGCTTCACATGGGCTACAAGAAATGGCAGTAAACTTCATCATTTTAGTCAATGTTTTAGGTAGAAAAATATTATTGTTTTATGTGTAGCCTTCCTCTATAAAAAGGAAGGAAGAAATTGATGAAAATTGAGAGAAAGAGAGCATGGTTTCTCCTTTCCGGTTGGGTGAATGTCTGCACCCTTCCATGTTTATGGCTTTTATGGTCTGTTATATTGTGTTGTTTCTGCTATAAATAGCAGAATATCAATGGAAGAAAATGGGTTCTGACCTCACCAAAAGAGGAAACTCCGGGTGTCTCTCCTTCTCCTCCAAGTCCTCTCTCAATCCCTCCCTTCTTACCCTCAAAAATCCAACACACACATTGAAAGGCCACTTCAGAAAGGCCACTTCAATAAGAAGTTTCATCCTATCCATGTCATAATCTTTGCCCAACATTAGATCTGCAACCTCTTCAATCCATGTCTCCGTTGAAGTGGCCCATTTATCTTCTCCCTCACCCATGCAACCAACCTTTCCTGGCCTTGCTCCAAATTTGCAGATCTCCATTTTGGATGAGCCCTCGTTAAGCTCTTTCCTGTCAACATCTCCAAAACTACAATTCTTTAGCTGCAAACATCAACTTTGTATGTGATGGGAAGATTGTATACCCACTTAGGAGCCATGTAACCTCTTGTACCTCTTACACTTGACTTGAGGTGTTGATGTCAATTCTGCTTAATAGCTTGGACAAACCAAAATCTGCGACTTTTGGTTGGAAATTGGAGTCCAGAAGTATGTTTTACAGCTTAATGTTGCAGTGTAGAATCCATTCCAAGCATTCTTCATGCAAATAAGCCAAACCTTTTGCAGTGCTGACAGCAATTTCAAACCTTCTTGCCCAATTTAATGCTTTTTTTAATAGATTATCGGCTAAAGATCCATGCTCCAAGTACTCATAAACCAAAAGCCTGTGTTTCCATTCTACACAATATCCCTACATCTCTATCAAGTTCATGTGATTTAGCCTTCTGATGGTACTCATTTTAGCAAGGAACTCTGCTTCTCCTTGGTCAGCTTCATGGAGGTGCTTGATTACCGTTGGAGCTATGGCATGAAAGCTGAAAATGCAGTGAAATGAGATCTGCTAAATGATGCTGCAACATGACTGCACAGTAGCAGCAAAGTGACAGCAGCATGGAGCTTCACATGGGCTACAAGAAATGGCAGCAAACTTCATCATTTTAGTCAATGTTTTAGGTAGTTAATAATTATTGTATTAAGTAGAAAAATATTATTATTTTGTGTAGCCTTCCTATATAAAAAGGAAGGAAGAAATTGAATGAAAATTGAGAGAAAGAGAAAGCATGGTTTCTCCTCTCCGGTTGGGTGAATGTCTACACCCTTCCATGTTTATGGCTTAATGTTCCATGTTATGTTGTGTTGTTTATGGAAGAAATGGGTTTTGACCTCACCAAAAGAGGGAACTCCGAGTGTCTCTCCTTCTCCTCCAAGTCCTCTCTCAATCGCCCTTTCTTACAATCGAAAATCCAACAATCACAGCTATGCGTTGGTCCAGTAACACACTTCTGTATACAACTCCAACGCCACTTCTACCTACCTCTTCGGTGAAACTATTAGTTGCCTTTTTTAGCTCCGAATAGGTGTATCTTTTGCATCCAATTGCAGCTTGGATGTATCCTTCGGTTGTTGCTTTGTTGCCCCAATTGCTTCCAAACAAAATACACCATACCAAGAAGAAGCAAATGAATTCCACAATTCCTACTACAATAGAGAATCAAGGTAGAAACTTCACGAATCCATTTTCTTTACCCTTTCCATACATTCTGTTTAGGGTCTGACTCATCACCTTTAGACAACTACTCAAAAATGATGGGAAATTTCTATATTCCCATGAGAATACAAGGTTACAACTCTATACTTGTTGGGTTTTTTAAAGCAAAGAAAGAAAAAAAGGAGAGAACCGAGAGGAAGAAGATGAAGAGCAGATCACATAAAATGGAGAGGAGTATATGACTCCAACTCAAGAGATATCATTGATATTTCACTACATTTATAGCAGAAACAATACAATAAAAAACAATTTTTTTCTCACCTAACATTTTACCCAATACAAGAAAATATTAAGCATTTAAAACAAAAGATTACATTCAAAGATTTACTGCCATTTCTTGTAGCGCATGTGAAGCTCCATTGTGCTGTCACTTTGCTGCTACTTTGGCAGCTTGAACACCACAACTCCAACAATACTTATGCACAAGCTCAATGTGTTGTCTTAATCTAATTAAGGAAAAACATAATTAGTGACTAATTACAATCATATATAGATTAATGCTAAATGATTCTTTCCTTATAGGTTTCCAATCTTCCAAATTGTTGCAATCTCAACATTCCCCCTCAAGTTGGTGCATAAATATCACGCATGCCCAACTTGTTTAGAAAATTTTAGAAGACTCGTTTGTTAACAGCTTTGGTAAGAACATCAGCTAACTAGTCTTTTGATTGAATCTTAGGCAACTCTAAAATTTCTTCATCCAACTTTTCTTTAATGAAGAATCTGTCCACCTCAACATGTTTAGTCCGATCATGTTGAACTAGATTGTGAGTAATGTCACATGCAGCTTTATTGTCGCAGTATAGTTGAAATGGTTGCTTAGAAGGGTAGCCCAAATCTCGTAAGAGATTTCTTAACCATAATGCTTCACAGAGTCCATGTGCCATACCTCTAAACTCAACTTCCACGCTTAATTGTGCAACAACCTTCTCTTTCTTACTCCTTCATGTAACCAAGTTTCTACCCACAAAAGTAAAGTAACCAGAGGTTGATCTTCCATCATCTATTGCTCCAACCCAATCAGCATCAGTATATGTGGCTATGCTGTGACAATCAATATTCTTTGTGAATAGGATTCCTTTACCTAGTGCAGATTTTAGATACCTCAAGATACGCATGATGACATTCATATGTTGTTCACCAGGATCATGCATATATTGGCTGACAACACTTAATGCATAAGCGAGGTCTGGTCTTGTGTGAGCTAAGTACATCAATCTTCCCACTAATCTCTGGTATCTTCTTTTATCAACAAGAGCCTGATTTGGCTAGATGCATAATTTTAAACCTTCTTCCATTGGTGTATGAGCTGGTCAGTGTTCTAACATGCTAATTTTCTTTAAAAGATCTAAAGTATATTTTCTTTGAGATAGGAAGATTCCTCATACTGAAAACCTCAATCCCAAGAAAATATTTCAAGGAACCAAGATCTTTCATTTGAAACTCTCTTGATAAGTAATCCTATAAAGCTTTCCTTTTATCAGGATCATATCCTGTCACTACCATGTCATCCATATATACAATGAGAGCAATAACTTTACCCTGTTGCTTCTTTATGAACAAAGTGTGATCAGAATTACTTTGATGATAGCCAACAACTTTCATTGCTTTTGTGAATCTTCCAAACTGCACTCTGGGTGATTGTTTTAATCCATATAGTGACTTCTTCAATCTACCCACCTTTTGGCAATGTCTCTCAAGTATTTGACATGTTGGTGGAATATCCATATAAACCTCTTCAGTTAACTCCCCATGTAGGAAGGCATTCTTCACATCAAACTGTTGTAAAGGCCAACCCAAGTTAGCTGCAAGAGATATATAGCAGCACTCAAACTGTGTTGATTTTGGCAACTGACACAAAAGTCTCAATGTAATTAATCCGTAACTCTAAGTATAACCTTTTGCTACGAGTCTTGCTTTAAACTGTTCAACAGTACCATCAGCTTTATACTTCACTGTGTAGATCTATCAGCATCCTACTGGTCTCTTTCCAGGTGGACAGTCAACAAGTTCCCGAGTTTCATTCTTTTACAAAGATCCCATCTCCTCGTTATTACAGGCCTCCACCTTGGGTCAACTAAGGCTTCCTGCACACTGTTAGGAATAAATATAGCAAATAATTGATTTACATATGATAAATTTGATTCTAACAGATGATGGTTAGACACATAATTACTCGGGGGATATTTGACTTTACTAGAAAGCTTAGGTTCATATGTGGGTTTAGGGATACCTTTTGAGTGGTGATTTGGCAACTGTTTTCTAGACGAGTTAGGAATCATACTTAGAACATCTATGGCAGACGACTGGTGTGGTATTTTAGTGAGGGGGGGAAACTCATTCAAAGGAAGCTACATCATTAAATGAACCACCTGTGCCATCAGTAAAACCTCCATCATTAGAGGAACATGTGCAACCTGCTCCATCAGTGGAACCTGAACCTATGCAACCTACTGCATCAATGGAACCTGCACTATCAGCAGAACTAATGTCATCAAAGGAGCCTGTACCATCAGAAGAACCTAAACTATCAAAGGAACCTAGACCATCAGAGGACCTTGCACTATCAGAGGAGCTAGCACCATCAAGGAAGCTTACTTCCCATCTAGAACCATCTTTGACATTAGGAACATATGTAAAGTATTCCTTCACCTCTGCAGCACAATAACCATACTCTAAAGTCTGAATTTCTTGTATTCCTTGATTATACACCCCTTAAAATTCAAACTCATAGGAGAAATACATGGAGCTTTCATGAAAAACTACATCTATTGCAATATACATTTTATATGGGTGGATGATAATATTGATACCCCTTTTGATTCATTGCATATCCAAGAAACACACATTTTAGTGCTATTAGTTCTAGCTTAATCCACTCAGTTGGAGATGTATATAAGCAAGTAAGCAACACAACAAAAACATAAAGGGGTAAATTCGAAAATGTTGGGGTAGCAACAGCTTTATGCTAGGCTTGAAAAGATGTCTTGAATCCTAGTGAACTAGAAGGAACTCTATTGATCAAATATGCCGCCAATGTAAGTGCTTTGTTGGAGCTATGGCATGAAAGCTAAAAATGCATCAAATGAAATCTACTAAATGATGCTGCAACATGACTGCACAATAGCTGACAGCAGCATGGAGCTTCACATGGACAACAAGAGATGACAGAAAACTTCACCATTTTAGTCAAAGGTTTAGGTAGTTAATAATTATTGTATTAAGTAGAAAAATATTATTATTTTATGTGTCGCCTTCCTCTATAAAAAGGAAGGAAGAAATTGATGAAAATTGAGAGAAAGAGAAAGCATGGTTTCTCCTCTTCGGTTGGGTGAATGTCTACACCCTTCCGTGTTTATGGCTTTTATGTTCTGTATTATCTTGTATTGTTTCTGCTATAAATAGCAGAATATCAATGGAAGAAAATGGGTTCGACCTCAACAATTGAGGTAACTCCACGGTGACTCTCTCCTTCTCCTCCAAGTCCTCTCTCAAACCCCCTTTTAACACCAAAGCTTCAACATGCTTCTCCTCAATAAGATAGTGGCATATGACCTTCAATTAGGGAAGCTCGAACAATTTCTAGTAAGTGACGATTCTTCCTCTGTGCTACTCCATTCTGCTGTGGGGTGTCAGGGCATGTAGTTTGATGGATGATTCTATGTGCCTCCACATATCTTTGCATGTCAGAACTTTGATATTTTCCACCATTATCACTACGGAGTACCTTTATCTGTGTATTATATTGAGTTTCCATCATCTTATGGAACTTTTGAAATAACAAGTTCACTTCTCTTTTAGACTTCATCAAGCAAACCCAAGTCATCCTAGTGCAAACATCAATGAAAATGACAAACCAACGCATCCTACCTAAAGTTGAAACTTTAGAGGGACCCTAAACATCTGAGTGTATCACCATAAAGGGTTTTGGACTTTTATTCAAGATCAATGGAAATGAAGTAGGATGACTCCTTGCCAGTTCACAAACATCGCAGTGAAAGCTAGAGACATCATACTTTACAAATAAACTAGGAAATAACTTTTGTAAATAACCAAAGGAAGCATGCCCTAAATGTTAATGCCATAACTAGATTTTAGCTTTCTTTTTCTCCCCCTCAGAACCATCTACCGCCAAAGCTAGCTTCCTTAAGTTTATTGATATTTCTGAGCATTAAGTCCAGGTAATGCGGCTTCCTTCGCCTAACACCATAACCAATTGTTTGTCTTGTTTGAATGTCCTTAAACACACAAGAATCAGGCAAAAAAATTACAACACAAGATAAACCTTTAGTAATTTTAGAAATAGATAACAAGTTATAATTTAATGAAGGATTAGGATAGAATCTAGGTTCAAAGTATCAGTAAGTGATAAGGATCCTTCCTCTATAACAGGAGTGGTTTCCCCACTGGCCACAGAGACAGCTTTCTATGAGGAGGGTTTAAGGGGGGATACTTGTCTAGAATCAAATGTCATATGTTTTGTACAACCAGAATCAGTTACCCACTTTCTGTTAGTAACAGGTGCAGATGTATTTAAAACCTTGCCACCATTATCAGTTGTTGTTATTGATCCTTCAACAATCTTGCCTTCAGGTTTCAATTCAGCAACAATTACTGTTGCTAGCTTCCCCTCCAATAGCTTCCCAGTACTTTTCTTCTTTGGATCACGACTATAATCCCACCATTCAAGATATCCTACAAGTTTAAAACAATTGTCTTTAGTGTGACATTTGCAGTTGCAATAGGAACGTGCACCATTAGGAGTCTTAGATGACTGATTCCTAACCACCATGGCTAAGGAATTTAACTTTGCAACTTCCCCTGTTAGTGTTGCTTGATGAATTGTTTCACGATGAACCAATGCTTAGGTTCCTTTAGATCAAGAACCTCTTCTTGATGTAGAATATCTTTACAAACTTTTTCAAACTCACCATCCAGACCAACAAGAAATATGTGCACACTATATCTTTCAATTGACTTATATAATTAAATAACTGTATTAATTAAAATCAACTATTTTTTTTCATTAACTAACATCTACTGTCTACTAAATATCATTTATTACTTACAATTTTTTTTTTATCAGCATTTATTACTTACAATTATTATTCACTATTTATTACTTGTTGTTTATTATCTACTAAATTCTAAATTTTAATAGTTATAGCAAGCGTGCGTAACTTTCACGGTATATGTTGACTGGAAGTCCTTACACGACACAATTAAGACTAAAGCTTCCCTCCATTCTTTATGGCTTAACCTTCACGAACACGATCCCGTGTGGCGTGTTGCCTGGAAATCCTTACATGACATGACCCAAAAATGACTTTGAAAAGTCAAAGTCAACTGAAGATTAAAAAGAAAAAGGAGAAAGAACAAGTAGGGGGTTAAGTACCAGAACGTGTACCGTAAGTTCACAGAGGCAAAACACCAAACACCTTGCAGACGGCTAGAATTGTCAACTTCTAGTGGGGGGCTCGATGACCCAAAACTCAACTACGATATGTCCACATCTGATTTCACTAAATCCAGGTCAGGTTGCCAACATCCATGAAATTCTCGTCGCGACCTTTCCTTCCCTCTGGGGTTGTTAAGTTATTATTCTCATTAATTATCATGACATCCAGACGTGCTTTTGGTCTTTGCAGCAACATCAATTTCTGGTAAAAGTGGGGTGATTTACTTCCACGATGAGTACCTTGCCGTTATCTGGGATAACATCATAGGAGTATCATTTTTAAAAATTATCCTGTCGCTAATGGTAACCAATCAACATCAGAATTCACTTATGTTAATAATTTTTATGGAATTGGAACCAACCAGGAAACCAGACTCAGTTTACTCCCTAATTCACCTCCTTGCGTCGTTTCTCTTTCGGCTTCAAATATTCCTGCTTTGAAATATTCAAACCATGCTGTAGACTTCTCGGTCTTCTACTTTATCCATGGAAAAAGGGTGATGCTTCCTCATTATTTTGAGTTTGTTTCTGTGGGTTCTTCAATCTTCATCAGTTGAAATTGCTGAAATTTCAGGGCTTAATAATATGAGCTCTATGTTTTTGATCCATTCTCTGTTGTGGATTTTGATGGATTTCTTGATGGTGGTTCATAGCAAGGCCGTCCCTACTGTTATTAGTGTTTTGCTTTGGCTGTTGATTAGCTGTAGTTTGAACTATGGTCTTCAGGGTGATATTGATTGTTTAAAGAGCATAAAAGATTCTCTAGAGGACCCTTCTGGTTACTTGAATGCTACTTGGAACTTCAACAACAACACTGAAGGGTTTATTTGTAGATTTACAGGCATTGAATGCTGGCACCCAGATGAGAATAAGGTTTTGGCGATCCAGCTTTCAGATATGGGCCTCAAAGGTAAGTTTCCTCCAGGAATTAAGAATTGTTCAAGTTTGACTAACTTGGATCTCTCAAACAATGAGCTCTTTGGGCCAATTCCAGTTGAAATTTCCAAAATACTCCCGTATGCAACTTCCCTTAACCTCTCATCAAACAATTTCTCTGGTCAGATCCCAGAGAACGTAGCAAATGTTACCTACATGAATGCCCTTAACCTTGACCATAATCGGTTGACGGGTCAGATCCCTCCAGAGCTTGGTCTGCTGCCCAGACTTAAAAATTTAACCGTAGCTGATAACCTGCTAACAGGACCAATCCCAAATTTCCAGATTTCAATACCGGCAGATAGTTTTGCAAATAATCCAGGACTCTGTGGGAAGCCTTTGGATCCTTGCCAGTCCACTGAAACGAGAGCTCACCGCGGAATGATTGCTGTGGCAGCAGCTGGAGGGGTAACAGTTGCAACAATGGCTGTGGTTATTATTATTATTATTATTTTGGCCATCAGGAGGAGTGGTTATCGGTCTGCACTTGTACAACCGTATAACGTCCGTAAAGAGGAAGAAGGATGATGATCCAGAAGGAAATAAGTGGGCAAAGAGCTTGAAGGGAATCTCGTAGCTATTCTTTTAAGAAAATATTGGGAAAAAAAAGAGGGAAGTTGTATCTCTTCTTAGGGAAATTTGTAAAAAAACAGTTGAAGGTATTAGCAAAATTAGCCGGGTTAAAGACCCTTTTTTTTTTTTTTTTTATGAAAATCATACTTATATATTACAATTCCTATGGTTCCGAAGAAGATCAAGTTAAAGATGTTAATACAACTGTTGCTAAAAAATTTGAACCATTATGTCAACACAAGTTTCCCTTCTCCCCTTCTAACTTGTGAAGAAATATCAATAACAATTCAAGGATTAACACATTTGTGCTAGTCTAGCTGGTTATTGCCACGGAGTAGTTGTTACAAGTAAGGAAGGATATAGTTATGGCTACTCATTATACCATCAAAGTTAATTAATTATTTTATTAAAATCATTTAATTATATTTAATTTGATTATTAAAAATAAGATTCTTTCTTTTTGTGTTCTTAAAATACAGGTTAATAGTATAATAAATATATTTTTTGTAATTAACTTTCACTGAAAGTGTAAGTATTAATTTCGATTTAATTAATTAATCAATTAAACTCCTTTATGTGTTTGTGATATTAAAATATATGTTAATTTTTATAATTTTTTATGTGAATTAATTATAACAATATATATTTATTACACTCTTAACATATATTATAAAGGTATATAATAAATAAATTCTTAAAAATTATTGATAATTGATTAAATAATTAATATTTATTATTTAACATATTAAAATTAATACATAAATTGATATTTTCAGATATTATAATTTAATATTTAAAATATAAATTATAAATAAATAAAATATTATCCAATTTAAATAATTTTTGAGTAATTCTAACAAAATGATGATAAGCAGTGGTAATGACGTTCTTAAAAGAGAACTTTTTTTAAATTTTAGTGGTCAAAATTTGAAGTCAAAATTAAAATGCCACACCGATCGATCATTTACCACCAGACCACAAACGTGGTTGGAATAAAAAGAAGCGACTTTAATTGTACATGTTTACCAATTTACCCATTCATCTTGACAAGAAAACCTATTGTTTCTTCATTGCTAAAATTGCCCCCTTTTGTCATTTTCCAATCTACTTTTCCAATATTTGAAGTCAAAACACCCCGCCAGCCATTTCAACTTCTGGAATATTGAACAAGACTTTCATGTTTTTCACTTCATATTATGTAATAAAAATGTAGTTTGAATATTAGAGTTCAAAAAAAAAAATCCAGTTTGAATATTAAAATTATTAATATATTATTAATAAAATTAAATTAAAAATTTTTATTAAAAATATTTAATAAATTTATAAATCAAATTGTAAAATAAATTTATTGATTAAATAAGAGATTTCTATTTTACGGTCTATCTGACTTGAAGTGGATTGCAAGATTAAAACCATAAAAAAAGAGAGGAGATGGTTCCAAAATCAGAGACCCACCTTCTTTTATGATTCTAATCTTGCAGTTTGTTACACGACGGATTGTAAGACATTTTTTGCTTTAAATAATCTTACATGAGGTATTTTAGTATTTTACTTCAGGAAATTAAAAAATGAGTGATACTATAAGAATAATCTTTTTATTTCACATTTTTATATAATTTTCATATATTATTAAATAAGTTGATGTATTCAATATCATGAATCCCATATCAATTAAAAAAATCAATCATTTTAATGACACGTCAAATTATACAAAAAAATTAAACAAAAAAATTGTACAAAAATTATTTCCTTTAAAAAATCGAGTGGCTTAACATTACAAACAATATAGAATCTATGAGAATAACTACTTGGTGAATATGAGAAAGTTAAGACTCACATTACATTTCATATATTTAATAGTTATAATTAGACTTTTTAATATTTTTAATATTATGGAATCCTTATTTATTTATTTTTTAAAAAACTCTTATTCCTAAATCTTAATGCAAAATAGAAAGAAAAGAAAAGAAAAAAAAAATGCTTAGAGACCATTCGGGGAGTTGGATGCTGGGATTATCTCGAAAGCAGAAAATGAAGAATCACCCCTAAAAGTGTTGGGTTGAAACAAATTCAGACATGAAAAAAAAAAAATTAATGCATTTTGTCATCTTAAATTGTTGATTTAAAGATTTTGGCTTAAATTTAACTGTTGACATCAACAGCCATTATCACTCCATCAAAATTGTTTTTGCAGCCAATGCCATGTCATTACATTTTAAATAGAATGATGACGGTTGCTGATATCAACAGTTAAATTTAGATTAGTATCTTTAAATTGACAATTTGAGGTGGTAAAATACATCAACATTTTTTTAGGCATGAATATGCTTCAACTCAATAATTTTAAGGGCGATTCTACACCAGATTTGGCCTTTCTACCAGTAATGATGCTTAGACTTGGGGGGTTCGTGATGGAATCTTGGAATGCTTCTTGCTCGTCAGTATAAATATATAATATTCAGAAGTTGATGGTTGAAATGGATTCTATGTTGCTTTCCACTTAGAACTTTCTTCTAATTGTCCTTTTACTCTCTTATTTTGGACTATGGGGAAATCTTGGCTGAGATTCCACAAAGCGTATAGCTGCAACACGTTTTAGGGTGCCCAACATTGTGTGCAAATCTCCTTAATGCGATGGATTACTCTCTTTCCGTGGATTTTGTTTATTTGATTCCTACCCCCCTGGACTTATTTTTGTCCTTTAATGCTGAAATGATGGGTAAAAAGGAAAAGAACTAGTGTTTTCCTGGGTTATGTTCCCCAGGAACTAGTGTTGTATTTTGAATTTTATCTACATATATATCTCTATGTTTCACCGAGAAGGGAAAAGAATAGATAAAAATGGTACGGGGAAAGAAGATAAAAAGGTTGTGACAAGGACAAACTTTTTTTTTGAGCAGGTAGATGGTTAGGAAGTTAGTAGAGTTAGTTTGTTAGCAGCTGGAATTTTTTCAGGAAAGGAATTTTTTCAGGAAAGTAAACGTTCCACTTCCTCATTTGAGGGGCACGACCATTAGGTCGTAAGGTGGTGGAATTCATGGCGGTGGCAAAGCTCGAAGCCCTGACTTCCACCTCACCCAAACCCTAAAGTTTAGGGGCCAATCAATTGAGCCACAGGCCCGGTTGGCGTGACAAGGACAAACTTAAAAAATAAAAAAACAAAAAGTTTTATTTTGTTAATAAGAATAGGTAAAATAATAAGAGATAGTTGTTTCAAAATTTATTTTATGTTAACTATATATTTTATAATTATTTATGAAGAAAGATCACCCTAATACCAAAACATCTCATTAATGTTATAAGATGTGCAGTTTTTACCAGATGAATTGCATATAACTTTTTTTGAGATAATAATGCAAAAGTATAACTGCTCCTTTTCCATTTTTTTAATTTTCAGCAACGAACTGCTTGGACCTTGGAGACAATAGTCTATAACTGGACCCGTTTGTATGCAAGCCCTAGCTTGCTCCTTGAGAAATTGGGCTTTTAGAGCAATCAAAATTATAATAGAAAAATGAACAATAAATGCCTAATTAATTTCTCTACTTCTTGCTATATTAACTCAAGGACAGCCTGTTTGAGCCCTCCCTTTTCCACAATGCATTAAAGTACCGCCAACAGGCAGCGGCAGCATAACCCTTTACAACCTCAGCACTGACTTGAAAGGTAGTATATTTATAAGGCCCCCTCTTTGCATTTGCAGAGGTCCCCCTTCATTTAAATACGAGGGGGGGGAGGTGTGGGCAATTGTCCTTTTGTTCTTTGTTTTAAGTTCGGTCCTTAACCTGAATTTGGACTACAGCTTCAATTTTAACAGTAGACATCAAAAATATCACCTGAAGATATCGATATTGATTGAGGTGAGATGTTGATGAAAGTTCACACTATATAGCTAGCTGACTATCACAACCTTGGCATTGACTATACATGGCAGGTAGCCACCCACAGTGACAGTTCCAACACACAAAAGAGCAGTAAATTGGCCAATAAAAGCTGATCATACTGCAGCTATCTGATTCTGAGATATTTCCTTAGCATTCCAAAGTCACGACCCATTCATACATACTCAAACCCAAAAAACAAAAAAAGAGAGAGAAAAGAAACAATGTAGCAGCTCTACATTAAAGTCACAACTGGAGAAAACAACCCTTCATCTAATTTTTCTTCTCTTTACAAATTATTGCTTTCTCCTGGTGTGGGGTTAGCTCAGCTTTTAGCAAAATCCACCAGAAGAAGAAGTCAGTGGTTGTGGTAGAAACTAGAAAACAACCCCATCTTATGGCCTTTAAACACCTCTCTAGTTCTGCATTGGGTATCTTACTCCGGCTGCCAGTGCTCTCTGCTGCTCCATCTGAACCATCATCATATATAGGATTCAAAATATGCCCCAGTCATTACGATATTATTATATATGAAGAAAAGGGGCGGGTCTCATCTTAATCCAAAGAATGAATTAGTACCTGGAAGAATTCATGCAATTTGTTCTTGAGGTAACAATACTCATGTTCTAGGAGTTCCAAAGCTCTCAAGCATCTTCACAATTAAAAAGAAAAAAGGAAAAAAGAAAAAAAGAAGGAAACACATGTTAAAAGATGTTATTTTTTGTACATGTTTGGAGGTACATATGTAAAGAGATAGTGTGGACTGAGTGCATGCGAAAGCACAACTTTAGAGGAGGAAAGGAAATTAAGGCAGGCATCTGAAAGTGTACCCAGAGCGGTTGTTCTGCTCAGAGGCGGCGCGAAAGGCAACGCACACATTGCTGACCCTTTTAGCTCCTATGCTCGAACTGCTTCCCATAAACTGATTCAAATGGATTCCCATTTTCTTGTAATCCGAGAACTCTCTATCCATTCTGCAGTATGCATTAATTCACAATTTAATACCGAAAATTAGTAATTAACCAAACCAAGAAACAAAGCAGAGAGAAAGAAGATCAATTACAGTAATGTTCTGAGGTTTCTGAGGAGTTTCTCGGACTCATTGAAGTAGATATTGACAACATCATATACAAAGTTTGGGGAGCTCTCATCTTGCAGTTGTTGGAGCTGTAAGAACTGCTCGTCCAACACTCCCTGAAAAAAAAAAAAGAAAAAAAAAAGACCACAAACGTATCATTTACACCGAACTCAAACTCAAACTCAGAAACAAGAAAACAGACATTCAGAATAATCACTATATGTACCTGGTGGAAGAGCAATGCGAGCAAACGATTCATATCGGCTCGCAACCGTTCCACACCCCACCCCAGCATCCACAGAGGCAGACCCGTTTTGGCTAGTACTTGTACAATCCCGAAACAATGATTTTTTCCTAATGTTTGTACTCACAGGGGAGTTGATTCCTTTGTTAGCGGGATTTCACACCTAGGTCCACACCTATTTAAAGCCGTGCAGCCTGGGCCCAATTCACAACACACTTGAATAAAAAACTCTCACACATTTGAACATTTGAAACTCTACGCCAACCACCCTCAAAGCAAACGCGTGAAAAACACCATTTAACAGAGAATTTCATGCGATTTATTTATTCAATGTCATTTTATACATGTGATGGCTAAAAAATTACAATGTCATAATTTTAAAAAATCTCATTAAACTTAAGTACCTAATTTATAATCATACTTCTTTTTAATCAAAATTCCCTTTTAAATCTTCTTGAATGTGATATATTCTTCTTTCAAGAGCATACTTCTTATATTAATATGATTTACTTAAAAGAATTAACATTTTGTTTTCAAAAAAAAAAAAAGAATTAGCATTTTTAAATGATAATTTTAAAACTTAAATATTAAATTTATTTTATAAAATAATATTTATTTATCAATAAATTTAATTATTAAAGATAATTAATCATGATTTTGTTGGTCAACTATAAAACCCATTTCATTTTAACCAAAATCCCATCAAATTCATTGGATGGTGAAAGTCACGCGTTAGAAGTGTGATTTGGCTTAGGTTTGAATGGTGAGGGAGGGCGTGCATTATGAGACGAAATCGAGGTAATTGTGGGGCATCATCCGGACCAGCACACAAAAGTCACAGACTAAGAGTCGCGGCTGAGGGGAGGTGGCGACCTGGTGTTCCCGTACCCGGTCACCTCGCGTGCTGTCTGTTGTGACAGGCTAGTGCGGCGTTTCGCCCTTACTCCCACCCGACAACTGCCTGCAGCCGGTAACTTGTCAGTCACCTCACCCCCTCACCCCCACTGGCACGGCCCACCCATAAATTAGGCCTTAACTTTTCACTACTTTAGAAATTCGTCCTTCCCTTTTTCACACACATGCTGCCAAAACAAACGCTTCAGTAAGGTGATGGGTTTCTTTGTTACAAATAAGGGGGAGGGAAAATAGGAAAGGGATTCCTGTGGATTAAACACAACTCTATTTGGTAAATTCCATAGGAGGCCAGTGGCTGTATTACTGTGCCTGTAGCAGCGGGGATTTCCAGAAAAATAATGGGTTTCTTCGGGGCCTCACCTGCATTGAAGTATGGAAAAGTAAACGGCGTCTAGTGAACAAGGGCAAACAGTGACAAATTTAGTGTACCAAAAAAAAAAAGTGACAAATTTAGGGGCTGTATATGACACGTGGCGTGCAAAATGGGTCGATCATGATTTTTCACCTCTAGCTCTTTGATGTAAGATGATCATGATGAGACCTTTTCAAGAGTGAAGTCCATGGAAAGCTAATAAACATTGGTGTGAATTGAAATTGGAGCGAGTGATTGTGTATTCATGGACCATCAATACTTTTTACACCTCTTTTTGCCAAAATTTGGAACCATTTTGATTAGGTAATAATGTGATTAACCATATTTTTCTTCTTATGCCTGCAAGGACTTCTAAACTCAATTCTTGGAACGTTGCTTTGTATAGGAGGATGAAATTTAATTCAATAATAGATGAAATTAACCCTTCAGATTTGCTGACAAACTAATTAACTTAGGGCCTGTTTTGGTACAACGGTTAAAATTTAACGGATAGC